CATCTGGCTTTGTGCGAGTCGCTCGCCTCCTCCCTGGACCTTCTGTCAAGCGAAACCAAAAGGGAGGGAGGCTGAGCGAACGAAACCGAGAGAGGTGGAGTAATGGGAGAGGGGAGGAGAAATCCGAGAGCTCGGGACGGACTATAGCCCTATTCGATGATTATAATGCAGGGATTAGGTCGGTTAGCTACAGTGACGATGAGATTAGGGTGAGATTTAGGATAATTAAGGTTAACTAATTTAATTATGCTTATAACTTCAAATGTTTATATCTTTCAATCTATTTATAATTTATGTATGGTATTATATATTAAATTGTTTGATTTGACGCGTAGAATTTTATAAAAATAACTTGGTTGAAATCTGAGAGGTGAGAAAATTGAGGTACATATTATGTCGCCAAAAATTTTATCAAATTTCTCAAAATTACTTATTACAAGCCAACAGACACATGCAAACATTCTATATAGTTCATATCATTCACATGCTCATCTCATTCTATCCAATATAATCTCTATATCCTTAATAATGTATCATAATCATTATTATAAGAAAATATAACATTCAGAATGATATGGCCAATAAAAAGAGAATAAATCAAAATAAAATCTGAGGTTTTATTTAATAAGTGTGCGTAAAATGGTAGAGAAAAAACAAAATACTATCATAAATTAAAAGTAAGAACAAAAACCTCGAGCTCAAAAAATTCTTGTCTTTAAGTAGATCTTTTCTCCAATACAATACCCATAATCATGCATGTAAAAATATTCTTGTTAATTTATTATAATTTAATTTTACTATTTATAATTAATTTAATTTTACTATTTATAATTAATTTAATTTAATTTTATCTTTAATATAAATTGTATTTTTATTTTATATTATTTAATCTATTTGTACAAATAGTATTATTATTTATCTATTGTTACTTTAATATTAAATATTGTCAGAATTTAATCATGATTATTCTTATTAATATTTAAAACTTTTATCAATTAAATTTATAATTTTAACAATTTCTATATAATATTAAGATTAACTTTTAATATATTTAATTCTCACTATGAAGTCATTAACATTTAAAGTTTTCAAATTAATTCATAACATATTTCATACATTTAATTACTATTTAGATATTTTATTATTATTATTTTCAAAATTATTACAACAAAATATTAAATCCCTCATTTATTTTTCTTCTGAATATTTGTTTAATTTATTTATTAATTATTATTACTATTATTATTATTATTTTAGTTATTATCAAAAAAATCAAAATCACATTTAAAAAATTATCTCATCCTGAAGAGAACAAAATGTTTGTGACATTGGCGTCGATTCTGCATTTGGATCCCTGTATGTATCCTCTTGCACTGCTCGTAAGCGCACATTATGCCAAAAGCTCTGCCTCTGCCTCTTTGCTTAGCTTTCTACATCCACATCGAACATCCCTTAGGCACACTCGCACTCGTGGCCAAAGTCGTTCATCTTGCTCTTTCTCTAGCCTAGATTCTTTGCTTCTTCACACGTCGTGCGTCTTCTCTCAACGACAAGCCTCTCAAGATCACTCTTGAAGGTTCCCTTCAATTTCCTTCTCCTTCTCGCTTGGCTTCTACTCTCGACTCCTTCTAAAAGCTTGATTAATTCCGCTACGAAATGTAATGCTTGCATCATAGAGAATTAAAACCAAGCATTACGAGGTCAAAGCTCAAAAGCTTTGAGCAATATTAAACCTATTATCCTTTGCACCTCCCTTAACAAAATTTCAACTAAGATTTTATCCAACAGATTGACCTCCAATTCCATAATACAAAAAAGTATCTCTAACTATATAAATAGATTATTTTAAGGATAGAAATATCATTGAGAATGTTGTTTTGTCTCTTGATTTCTTCATGACTTACAGCTTAAAGTTTGTGGACACAACATTAATTTTTAACTTAATATTTCCAGACTTATGATAATCTTAATTGTGGTTTCCTTCATAGGGTTCTTTAGTTATTTGGTATAAGTGATACTATTATAAACTTAAAAACTACATTGAGAATGTTTGGTTTTCCATTCTTATCAATGGCAAGTCGTATGGGATCTTTAAATCCTCGAAAGATCTAATACAAGGTAATCTCATATCTCCCATGTTGTTTATAATTTCTGCCAGTTATCTTTCCTGAGGTCTTCATCACTTATTTCAAGACTAGAATAATAATTGATTTCATAATTTAGATGGGATATAGATATCTAGCTATCCTATGCTTTGCTAATGATGTTATCACATTTAGTGATGGCTCGCTAGATGTGGTCAATAAATTAAGAGAATTTCCCACTCATTTTGAATTGGAAAGTGGCCTTCCGATCAATAACCAGAAAAGTTCCTTTGCACCAAATAAAAATATTTATTGTAAGATGAGTAATGCCATTGTTGCTTCCATTAGCTTTAAACAACATACCCTCCCCCTTCAGCATTTCGGAACACCTCTTTACAAATGTAATGAGAAAATTTTTCTTTTTGATGATCTTATAAACTCCACTCAGAACAAGCTTTCTACTTGAGATTACAAGCTCTTGTCGAAGGGAAGAAGGCTTACTCTCATTACAAATGTTCTCTGCTCTCCACTTATTTATGCTATTCACATTTTCGATCCCACTTTGATGTTATAAATAGGATTGAAATAACTTTCAACAAGTTCTTTTGGGGCTCTAATTCAACCCATAAAAAAACTTCACTGGCCATCTTGAGATTCTGGTTGCGATCCTTACAATGAAGGTAGACTTGACTGAAAAACCTTAGTCGACCTAACCCTTACATAGTAATATAAATTATGGCGATCCTTCAGACAAGGTGATAGTTTATGGACCTCTTTCATGAAGGCCAAATATCTCCTATAAGCCTAATAGCTCTTCCATTTGGAAAAGGATGTACAAAATCAAATGGGCAATTGAGGTTCATATTCAATATGATATTGGCAAATGTTGTTCTTTTTTTGTCAAGATGATTGGGCTGGGCATGGGGTCTATTGATTCTTTACTTGACAAACTTTCCACTTCTACTATCAAGGCCTCTGATTTTATCATTAACGATGGCTGGAATATTCCTCAACTTAATGTCTTGCTTCTTGTACGTATTGTAGATAGTATTAAATATGTTCCTTTAAATAATACTTTGGAGGACAAAATCTTCCTTAGATCGCTCCTTTTAGCTCTTTTATTTATAAATATGAATGGGATCATATTAGGGTTAAATAGGACCGTTCGACTATTCTTTCAATCGATTTGGCAACAAGCTACATCTATTTCATATTCAGTGCTTTGATGGAGGATTTAAAGTACTACTTCCAGTGGATACTCTATTACAGAAAAAAGACATTTAATTCCCTCATTAATGTCTTTGTTGCTCTCATTTTGAAGATATTAAAGATGTTATTGCTATGGGCTCTTCCAAAGATGAACTCTAAACAGGGTCACAATCGATACAAAGCTTTAATTTTGATGCTACAGTCAATGATCATGAAAGGTTGGTAGTTATTGTATATTTCCTCTATACCAATGTCTGCCCTTCCCATATGTATGGTGGTTGTTTTGCTTCTCTTGTCCCTGGAAACCTCTTGAAGTAGAGTCTGAGTTCTTATTCATTCCTCTTGAAAACAACTCAGCACTCTTCATTTTGTTTTTGTTGCTGCCGTAGTTGGGTAAGTTACTCCTAAGAAATGATTTAGCACCGGCTGGTTTATTAAGCTGTAAAGTATTCCATTTGTAGCCCTTTTAGGACTAACCTTCTCAATATGGGTCTACGCTTTCTGCTAACTAAAACCTCCTGAGGGTATTGGTTTTGGATTTATGGCTGCATGTGCTACACCAAATCATTGATTTTGCTTGACGTTGGATGCCCTCCCCTTCTTGTGGTGCTGATAGCCGACACTATTTCCGGCTTGAGTTTCAATTCATGGATGGCTCCTTTGGTCCATACTTCAACTTACTCGACTTCATTATGTCCTTCATTTTTCATACTTTATGTATTCTTTGGTGTGGGTCTTAACCTAATTCAGATTTGCTCATAACTTTCATCAAATGACATTCTCTGGGATACAATATCATGGTGGAAAATTATCAATCTCAGAAAAGTTCATCCCTTTCAACTTTGTTATTTTTTGTCATCTTAACCTTCATTTTATATGACTTCATTTTAGCTGGCTATGGCCCCGCATCATTTGAGGGGGTGCAAGTAAATTTTGCTTACATCAACAACAAGGAGATGAACTCATTATGCAAGTGGCAGCTCAAGGAGAAGATGGACATCAATATTTTACTTTGGGACTATTTATTGGATTCCTTTATTTGATGCTTGTTATGAAATAGACAATTTGGTGTTGATTGACAAAATAATAGTCTATGAAGACATTCAGTACATTGATGCCTGAGTACATGGAACTTGATCCTCCTTATATCATTGTTTAGCCGTCAAGTTTTTTGTATGAGCTTTTAACGCTCTTTTGATCCAACACTCTTTCTAGGCGTTGCAAATCTGTTGTGAAGCCTTTTTTTTGTATTTAGCTTTATTCCTTTATGTGTTTGCTGTCTTTAATTATTATCCATTTTATTATATCACTCAACTTGTTTGATCTCAATTTGTTTTCGGGCTTTCATTTGTTTTGGTGAGTTTGTTCTTCCTTGTAATTCCCTACAGCTCTCGTACGCTTTTACTTTATTAATGAATTTTAGTTATGATTAAAAAAAATGTGTCCTTGATTTGTCTCACTAAACATACTTCGCACTGTACAATGCTCTTCCATAAAAGAATAGTTTATATGAATTTTACCCTTAATTCTCTTTGTTGCATTTAATAAACACACATAGCTTTAGGACAATATTAACAACTAAAAAAACTATGTGCAAACCACTCAGCCTAGTGCTTGATAGCTTTTTTCTCTAACCACAAGGTTTTAAGTTAAAATCTCAGCAGATACAGGTATGTACGAGTTAAAAAAAAGAAAAAGCAATCTTACATTGCATCCCGATACAGGGAAATGGAATTTTGTTTCTTCTGGTTCGGCCTCAAGAATTTTTGAAGCTCTTGCAAAGGAAGAAATTGCAAGCCCATTCCATGAAACAATAACCTAAAGAACAATTCAGCTCGTAAGGAGTTTTTTAGATTAAATTAAAAAAAAAAAGAGAACATCATTAAAATAAAGTAAGGGCAGTACCTTATCATCTAGATGTGGCCTAGGTCGACGATAGCGTGCATCAAAAAGTTTTTTCCTGCAAATCCCAAGAGTTTGAGCATACTCATAAGCTGACATACCTAATTTTGATGCCTTGAAAAGAACATCTTTCCTTTCGAAAAGTACATTTTTTCCTTTAAACTCGTTGTGGGGATCACTCATCCTAGAAAGATCACAATTTCCAGAAGTTTTGACATAATAATGCGTCTTGAACAAATCTGCATCATCTCCCAGTATCTCTTCAACCTAGAAGAGCAAGTTAAATAAATATCATAAATACAAATTAACCAAGTGAAAAATGAAGCTAATCCGACTGCAGCACTGCTTTCAAAATAAACTTAAACGTTTATTTTGAGAAAGGAGCATTCAAAATAAAAATAAAAATTATGCTTTGTTATTATATAAAAACCATGCTTAGAAATTAAATCTGAATTCTAACAAGATGTCGACAATTGAATATGATCCACGTGGAAGAAAACTATGGGTTTGAGCTTATTAGGTGGTAAGAAAGAAATACAGAAAAAAGAGGGCATAGACATACATGCCACCCAAGTCCTACGGATTTGCATATCTAACACCCTAAGTATTTTTTTTACATTTATACCACCCAAAATTTTCATATCACATCTAAAAAATCAATATTTTAACATTTAAAAAGCGAAATACACCTTGTCATGCATAGTAAAGATTGCATATATGTAAAAAATTGAATTTTAGGTGTTAGATATGTAAATACATAAGAATTTGAGTGGTATGTATGTAAATCTTCAAAAAAATCCAAAATGAAGAACCTGTAGATGGAATTTGAAGAAATTTGCCACATTTGCATTGTTCTTATATGAGAGAAAGTGAATGATAACAGTAATGCAAGGTTAAATTGCAATTACATTATCTTACCTCTTTACTTGTCCAGACATAAAAGGCCCCTTCTTTCTTTTTGGTGGAACCATCATTCTCAGTACTGTCAGCATCCTCAGCTGAAAAAATCTCACCCTCTTCCCCAATCATGTCTCTCCTTAGATAATCAAGAATATCACGGGCTACAGAAGAGTAAAATGCATCCTTCGTAACTGTAAAAGTGTCCAGGTAGACATTTGCAAGCTGCCCTTGATCATATAGCATCTTCTCAAAATGTGGAACTGAATGGTGAAGTAAAATTTTAAAAAAGAAAAAGATAATAACTGCTAAAAAAACATAAACACTTGAACAAACAAGATTAAATCGCAAGTTTCAATAAAAGCATCTCCAAAACAATGATTTTTCTTCATCAAGAAACAATAAAATTGCCAAAATTAATTGTTTATTACGAAATAAAAACAGAAAATAAAGGAATCGTGGGTCCATTAATAGATCTGAGGTGGAGAAATTATCCTCCCTTAATTATTCATTATTATGTTTTTATTTCTTTTCTTTTTTATCATGATTATTTGATTTTCCCTCCAATTGTATGAGGATTAGGCTGAGTTGTAGATATATTTGTTATTTGCTTGAGAAAATTAGAAAGTTTATACCTCCCAAAAATCTACTTGATATCAGAGCAAGGAAGCAAACCTAAGTTCTTCTTTAAACCACCGGAGCCTCTCCAACAGCCGTTGAGCAGACAGAATCTTCCCTGTAGTTGTCAGAATTCCTCCGTTCTTTCAGCCAGACTCTCCAAGGCAACAACAGCGGCCTTCTCAAGGCAGCAATTGCAGTCTTCTCCAAGCAACAGCAGCGGTCTCCCATAGGCAGCAGTGTGGTTTCATCCAGGCAAAAGTGGAGGTCTCCTCCAAGCAGTAAACAAATGGAAATTTCTCTGTCCAGCAGTTCAGCAGCCCAAAACTGCTACTCAGCTCAGGCTCTGCAACCCAGACCTGCACCAAGCTAGGGACTCAAGTTCGGGATGCATCGACAACCTATTTTTTCTCTTTGGTGGAAATCGTAGAGACTATGAAATTCGATTTTCTCCTAACGGAAATCACAGGGAGACCCCACGACCGATTTTCTCTCTATTAGAAATCATAGAGACCTCCACGTTCGATTTTCTCTTTCCAGCAGGAAATCATAGAGATACCTCGACGGCCGATTTTTTTAATCTCAAGAAGAAATCATAGAGACCCCGAAACCCGATTTTGTATCTCCAATGCATGTCCTATGTTAGCGATAGACAATTTCACTTCTGAGTGTAAATCCTGTGTTCGATAGACGTTTTTCACTCAAGCAAAAAACCTGTGTTAGCGATAAGTAATTTCTCACTCTAGTAGAAATCCTATGTTGGTGACAGACAATATCTCTTTCTAGTAAAAATCCTGTGTCGATGAGAGAATATCTCTTTTCGGAGTAAATCATTATAATGACCAAATACAACATGAAAACTATTTCTTTTTTTTTCAGAATTTACTTTTGAACCTAAGCCTAGGATGTTTGGTTTTACAGCATATGAAATCTCTTTTTGCATCACCAATCACAAACTACAAGGCAACAATTTCCTCCAATGATCACAATCTGTGTTTATGTACATATGTGATAAAAGAAAAGTTAATCATCTCACCGAGAAAAATCTTGTACCAGAGATTACTGATCCTAAATATCGGACATGCAAGATTGAAGATCACATGGTCATATCATGGTTCGTCAACTTCATGACCATGGATATTAGAGAAAACTTCCTTTTGCATAAAACGGAAAAAAATCTGAGATGCCACGAGAAATCTATTCAAGTGTTGACAAAACCTCAAAGTTTTTTGATATTGAAACTAGATTATATGATCTGCAACAGGGTGAGCTATTATATGAATACAATGATAAAAACTTGTTACAGGAATTATGCTTTAAGAAATATCACAAGTGATGTTATAAGTAAGCTATTATATGAATACTTGCAAATATGGATGATAGGAAAAGATGAGATTCCCGACTCTTGATATTCAGACTGTGATGAAACTTTAGGAACCGTTGGGATTAGACGACGATGGAACGTAAGAAACTGTTGGTACCAAGGGAGTTATTGATAGTTGTTATATTAGGAGGCCCAATTTTTACCAATAGTTATCGTGGCCTTCGAGCTAGATGACGACCCAATGACATGACATAATATGAGAGTAGTTGAGGTCTATATAATTAAAAGTGGCATTTCTGTGATTACATTTATGAATCTTCTGAATATGTTTATGATTACGCACTAATTGATAAAATACATATTTTATAGAACAATTATGATTATCTGTATTACATGCCCTTTCTTTTCATGTTTTACACATTTATAATATGTGTAATGTTTTGTGGACATGTAAATGAATTACATATGAGCATGCAGTTTTTTTTTTCGTCTATAAAATCTTATTTTAACCTGAATTATTTCAATGAGCTCGTTATTAATCACTTTATGTTGTTGAATTTCAAGAAGGGTTAACGACCACTGGGGCAAGTATTGCTGTGTGACTTGTACAGCTTTTATATTTCATAATTTTGGGCGTTTGAACATACTTTTGGGTACGCATTTTTATTAAATTGGATTCAGCACCTCTGCATAGATATATACATGTTTAGATATCTGATTTTCATGCTTTCGAGGATATGTTTGTTAATGATTTATGAATGAAATGTATTAAGTATATTTGTAGCGATTTAGTTAGTCTGGTTCATTACTCACTAAGTATTGATTCTACAAGTTATGATAAGAACTGGTGAGAATTTAGTTTGATCGATGTTGGCATCAATTTTTGATGTCACGAGTGTATGATGTCCGTTCGAGCACTAAGAAACGTTGCTTGATGCACGTATTGACCCCTGCAGCGCGAGACATCTACTTTGGACCCACCGACACGTGTTGAGGGGCACGTAACCGGG